ACTCTAGCTACAGGTGGGCCAGTGGATAAAGCGAAGCCTGAAGACCTGAGTTCTATCCCTGGAATCCATATGACGGAAGGAAAGAATCAACTCTTGAAAGTTGTCCTCTGACCTCCACACATGTGCTGTGGTGTGGATGTGCACATGTATGTACATAAACATACATAAGCTCATACACAGAGTCAATAAATGAATGTGAGAAGTCATTTGTTCATTCAGATAACATGCCCTCATGCGTGCATGTGTGAGTGAGTGTTGAAACTGGATGTGTTCAGAGATAGTATCTAGGAACATCACCTGAAAATTAGGCACCCAAGCCACTGGTATGCTCGCTGACCATTAATTAGCTACTGTGGGTGAACTATGGTGTCCAGTCCAGGTTGGGAACTCGTGGTGAGTATCTCAGCTTAAATACGGAACAGGCTAATGATGCCTAGTGTAGGGTGGGAAGAGAGTGTGAGAATTCCAGGGTATTTTTTCTTTCTTTTTCTTTCTCTTCTAGACACAGAGGTACATACAAGGGATATGAGTAAGTAACAGTAAGTTAGAAAGTAAAAAAGAAATTGACCTAAAATTGACATTGCAGAACAATTTCCCATTAGTAAGGATAACTTCCCCTCTACTGCTAGCTTTTGGAAAGAGGTAACAATACTACTTATGTCCACAGAACCAAGCTGCACCTCCCAACCTTTGGCCTAATTTAAGGGAATTCTAAGAGATGTTCTTGGAAGTGAAAATTTCAGAGTAAGGATTACTAGTGCTATGTAGGAAATAATCAGATGCAATCTAATTTTAAAATGGGCAAATGATAAATCTAAAGAAAATTTATAAAACCTCTGAACCTATTTTCATTGTGTTCATGTGTGAACTTTGTGTGTGCTTATGTTTCCAGATTAATACATGGCTTATAGGGACGCTACCCATATTCTAACTGTAACTCCATTTACTCTCTCTATATCAATTGTGCTAGAGAGTTATCCAATGACTTTCCTTTCTGATGTTTAAGCCCCTGTATAATTCACCCCCCCTCTCTCTGTGTGTGTTTGTGTGTGTATGTGTGTGTGTGTGTGTGTGTGTGTGTGTGTGTGTGTGTGTGTGTGTGTGTGGTGTGTTGCCTGTATATATGTCTGTGCATTGTGGGTGTCCCTGGTACCTGCAGAGGCCAGAAAAGGGGGGCAGAACCTAGAGTTCAATACGTTTGTGAGCTGCCATGTTGGTGCTGGGAAATGAACCTGAGTCCTCTGGAAGAGCAGCCAGTGCTCTTAGCCACTGGGCCATCTCTCCAGCCCCTCTTATGTATTTATTAATCCAACAGATTAAAAACCAAGGTTAACCACCACAGGAATGTCAGAGTACAAAATGACAAGATATGCTTAGAAACTGAATTAGCTTTCATTTGCATTCTAGTGTTGGGCAGCACTTTATTCTATAAATAAAGTGAAGGCTCCTCTGTTGTGGGGGACAGCTTGTTTATATAAGGAATCAGAATGGAAGTCACCAGGTTACTTTTAACATTGAAACATAACACCCAGGTCTACATTTCTAGTAACTGCTCAGATAATGTTGATGCTGGGGATGGGAGACAGGACTTTGGGGACCACTGTAGTTGAAGCCGAAGCAGAAAGCTGGTGGTCCAGATCCACTGCATCAATGCAAAACCTATACTCTCATACCAAGCCACACCTCCAGGATGCACACATACTCCTGCTTAGTTCTGCACAGATTTGCTTTATCTTAGTGTGATGACTGATTTTAGTGACAACTTGCCACAAATTAGAATCATCTGAGTCAGGAGCCTCATTGATTTGATTGTCTTAATTGATTTGAAAGAGGATACCTTAAAGGTGGGTAGCATTTCTGTTAATAGCCCCTCCCCGGATTAAAAGCGGGGGCAGAAGGAAGATTATTCCCTTTTACTTGCCTGGCTTTTTGTCTTCCCCTTGCCATTGATGTTGCTGCTGCAGATTCCTTCACTGATACCAAACCCACTATTTCCAAGCTTCCATTGTTGACAGAGGAGCAGGGACTCTCCAGAAACCTCCCCGGTTTTTAGTGGTAGACAGAGACTGCTGAAGCACCCAGCCTTGTGGACAGACCGTCTAACCAAGCTGTTCAGTTTTTCAATGTGAGACAGCCACTGTATGAATACTCTTGACTGGTGAGGGAGCCAGCTTCCAGGATGGAACAACTGGACTATCAGTCCCTCAGGTGTGAGACAACTTATTATTTTAATAGAAGCTCGTTTCATAAACTCATGTATGTATTCATTTCATCATTTCTGTTCCTCTAGAGAACTCTGGAAAAAACACTTATTAAGTGAAATTTATAGAGCCTCATTATTTTGAACTAGGCTTTTCAAAATAGGAGATCAGACCAAGCCAGAATGGAGTGGTTTGTGCTCCATGCCACTTAATCAAACTGGTTTTGAAATACTCTACCCCCCCCCACCTATATATGAAAGGACAGCAGCCAATCAGAACAGGTAAATCCTCTGAATGCAACTTGGAAAGCACCCATCTTTTTGGTCCTTTCTTCTAAGGTTCATTTCCTTTTGACAGATACAGTCAATCTCTACCCTCACCCTTGGGGAGTTCTTGTATTTTATAGAATGTGCTGCTGCCTAGATTTTTGCGTCATAATTAGCCAACTGATCTTTAAATTCATTTGTTTTCCTATCTATATCTTCATCTTGACAGTATTTAAATGCCTGTGTAAACCCGGTTTGGCCAGATCATAACCTTTTTCTTTTTTTATCTCCATAAATAATTGCTTCTTTAATTTACTAAGCTACACATATTTTCACTTTACATATTTTATGCAGATGCTAACCTTTCTATGTTACATAAAAGGACATGCTCTGGGGAGGTGAAAAATAGCAGATGGATGAACGTTTGAGCCACAGGCTTGGGACAAATGCCTCTGCCATTAACTTCTAAAGGAAACGTCATTGATCTTCCTTCAGGCTGACTGTCATTTTTGCACTCATCCCGGGTCGTTTGAACGAATCCCGTACACTTGCATGAGAGGGAAGAAAGTGGGCAGGAGAGCACACTTCTTCACCCGGGAGCATCCGGACAGCCGGCACACAGGTCCAGGCAGAGGCGCCCGGGGGGCGGGGCCCGCGAGCGGCGACCACGTGACCACGGAGGCCGCGCCGCTCCAGGTCGCGCGATCCGCCGTCACATCAGCTTATGGCGCCGGCTGCTGATTGGCGGACTGCCTGCACGTGGGCGGGGCTCTGCCGGGCGGGCGGTGTCCTGGGCTCTCCAGCTCCTTCCCCCGCTGCCTGGCGGTGTAGCCGAGGCGAACTGAGCGGCCCGGGCCCTGCAGGTAGGTTCCGTTTGCCAGCAGCTGGATCCCGGCGAGTGGGAGGACCGGCGAGCGATCGCGAGGGATCCCCAGTTGCCAAGTGCTGGGAGAGCACCCTCCGCACAGGTGTAGCCGTCCTGGCTTGAGGTGCAGGTGGCTTGAGATGGTGGCCGAGTGGGCACCTTGGCCTGAGGGGCCTGCGGTGGATGTGGACAGGGCTGTGGCGGGGCAGGGAAGGACACCAACCCGGGAGAGCTGGGTCTCCGCCAGTGGCTGGAGGTTGCCTGTTGTGTATCCCACATCCAGGGAGAGATGGGAAATGCTGGTGCTTTGCTTTGCTATGGGCTTTTCCGGGAAAAGAGATCAGGTTGAAAACCTGCCTCTGACAGTTACTGCGACCTAGTGAGGGTGGAAGGCCAGCACTCTCTGCCTTTCTGAAAACTACGTGCACGGCGTGCGTACTTTAGCATCATAAAAAAAAAAAGTCGCGCATACTGACATCCCTGCTTTATTGCCGAGTAAATTCGAAGGTGGTACAAGTAAGTGAAAACATGGCCTTAAGTGCCCAGTCTGGAAAGTGGTTGGGGTCAAAACTTTGTGGGTTAGCTGAGTAGGTGTTACCATCAGTTGTTTTGTTAAAATGCTTGCTGATAACAGCCTTGTGACCCTTGATCTCTTACTGGGATTTTTTTTTGCATTCATGATGTAATATAATTAGTGTGGTGAACTCAGAAGCCTTATTCGTATGTGTGACTTTAGAGAGGTAAAAATGTAGAAGGAACAAGCACTGGGCCTTACAGCACATCGACTACTCCTTACAGAACAAAGTTATTTAAATTATTCCTGCCTTCATTGTCCAGCATATTAAGATTATACAAGTGTATACCTTACAGACTTGTGAGAATTAGATGAGGGAACCCCTCCAAATGTGTGAAATGAGATGTGGTGCCAGGGGTCCAAGAGCTCAGGAGCCTGAACCAGGAGAATTGAAGTTCCAGGCTACATAGCCAAGACCTGGAGGTGGAGGGGGGGGGGTTAATAATATGTAGGCTTGCGGAGTCAGGAGGCAGAGCCAGGCCGATCTCTGAGTTCAAGGCCAGCCTGGTCTACAGAGCGAGCTCCAGGACAGGCACCAAAACTACATGGAGAAACCCTGTCTCAAAAAACCATAATAATAATAATAATAATAATAATAATAATAAGAAGAAGAAGAAGTAGGCTTTTGGAAAATATATAAGTGCTAGCTATTGTTTCTGTGGTTTTTCTTTCGGTTAAGAAAAATATAATAGTTTTAAGTCATCTAAGTTTTATAGTGCATTTATTTGCTGGGGAAGGAACCAGGGCTTTGGACATACTAGGCTGGAGGAATATCACTAAACTACAGCCCAGGCCTATTTAATTGATAACCATGTTTTAAAGAAAAGAATACTTCTTCTGCAAAGGCACTATAAGATTTAAACTTCATTTTCAAGCAGTAATGCCCAATTAATTTAGAGTCCACAGAGCCACTGACTTTAAGGGGTTTAGCCCTTAAAATTACATATAAAATTATATTAGTATGTGGGTGTTTATTACTGTATAGCACTTGATACTAGTTTTTTTTTTAAACGATCAGTGGCATACATAATGGAGATCCAAATACTTAACACTTAATATAAATTAATTTTTTCATGACAAAGTGGGAGAAAACATTGTGAACCATCCCATAAGCAAAGGGCTAAGCCTCTTAGTGTATAAGATCCTAGCCGGAGTGGTGCTGCAAACTTTTGGACTAGGCTGCTTGGAAAGCTGTGGAGGGAGGGATGGCTTGAGTAATGGATCTGGAGGGAGAGGAGGAGAGGTGGAAGAGATTTTTAATCAGGAAACTGAAACATCCCAGGGGTAAGTGGGCAAAGGATAAAGATAAAGACCATTCACAGAAAAAGTGTAATTTCACTCAATTCATTCACACAAAAAGCTCAGTATCTCTCAAGGTAGATAGGAATTAAGTATGCACCAAGATGTCTCCTCTTCCCTACTGAGTTGAAGACACCCTACCCCGGGGATTCTGGAGAAACAGGCACTGTCCTCCATCCTTAGAGAACACACAAAGCAGTTCCATACCTGTGGAGAGCAGCTTAGCAACCTGGCCCAGGTCACACATTCGGTTTCTCCTTGAGAGCGTCCTGCCTGTAAAGGTGTCCTTGGTACAGGAGCACTTGTGCCTCAAAGCCTGAAAGCCTGAGAACCAAACAACTGTTTTCTTTTTGCCATAGGTTCAGCACTCAGACTCATCTGATGACCGGCCCTGACTCCAAGTGACTGACGAGCACCTGTTGTTTCTTGGGTGACACACCAGGTATTCCTGCCTCTGCCTGTGCCTTCCGGCGATGTTTTGCTTTTTTGTTGTTTTGTTAACTTTTGATTTACTTCCATGTGAAGATGTCGGAAGTAGCTGAAGACAGCCTGCTGGGTGGCAGCAAGGAGGAAGCTGCTGTCAGTACTGCCCAGGACGGGGTTGAGGGTGCTGCTGGTGTGTGGTATGTTTGTGGTGCATCTACTGAAAGAGACAGTGTGGGAACTAACGCCATGCATGGCTTTTGGACTGGAGAGACAAACTGTTGAATTTTTATCTGGAAGTGAGGATCAAAATATTGCCTAGCAGAGAAAAATGAAATACTAAGCATGTTTGATAAAGTGACAATTAAAAAACTAAACAGGTGTCGCTAGTGGCTGCGATGATCATGAAACCAGACGGCATAAATGCAGAACTGTTGATGCATATTAATAGGCTGATACATGTTAATAGCAGCATTAAGAAGGAAGAACTTAGAAAGCGGGACAGTGGAAAATATCTCAAAGTCTAGTGAAAGCTACTTGGGAACTTTCCTCGTGCCCAGACAACTCTTTTGCACATTCTCCTCTTTCACTTCATGTTAAAAAGAATGTTGACAACATTTTCTTTTCTTCCACTGTTCCTTCAAGACAACCTTTCTCACCAAACAGTGTCATGCTTAGAAAAGCAAGTGCTGGGAGGCAGAGGCAGGTGGATCTCTGTGAGTTCGAGGCCAGCCTGGTCTCCAAAGCGAGTTCCAGGAAAGGTGCAAAGCTACACAGAGAAACCCTGTCTCGAAAAAACAAAAACAAAACAACAAAAAAAAAAAAAAAGAGAAAGAAAGAAAAGCAAGTGCTTATATATTGCCGGCATAGTTCACATAGGCCTGGCCATCATAATGTCCAGAGTAGTTCATCCATAAAGATCTAGTCCCAAAATTGCTTACTGTGCAAAATGGCGTTGGTAGATCAGCATTAATAAATGTTTACTAGGGCTGGAGAGATGGCCTCAGCAGTTAAGAACACTTGCAGAGGGCCCAAGTTCAGTTCCCATTGTTCACATCAGACAACTTGCAACCACCTGTAACTCCAGCTCCAGGGGAGACGGTACCCTCTTCTGGCTTCTGCAGGCACTGGCACTCATGTGCTGTATATTCAGGCAAACATACCCACATAAAATAAAATAAAAAGAAATGTTTGCCATGTGAGCAGACAGTGATAAGCCAGCAGTTAGTTGGGATATTTCTCTTTCTCTGTGTGTTTGTGTGTATGTGAGTATGTGTGTATGTGGAGGTCAGAGGACAACTTCAGTTGCTGTCCCTGCGTGCCTTCCGTCTTGTGTTTGAGGTAGGGTCTCTCATCGGTCTGAGACTCTCCTAGGTGGGCTGAGCTACGGACCAGGAAGTTCCGGGGTCCTCCTGAGTCTCCCTCCCATCTTGCCATCAGTGGATTGATTATTTAGACCCAAGCCACCATGCCCTGCTCTTCACCTGGGTGCTGGGGCTCCAAACTCAGGTCCTCCAGTTGGCAGAACAGGCACTTGGCTGACCAAGCCGCAGTCTCCCCAGCCCAACCGAAGGATTTTCTAACACTAAAAAGACCGTGGTACTTAACCTCTTCAGGCCATGAATAACTCCGGGGAGGCCACCCTTGAAGAAATGCTGCACCTTGATTGTGTTGCTTCTGGTGGCATGGTTTGGAAACTGCTGGAAGGTTATTGAACGAGTGTGCCTAAGGATAGTAGGACAGCCTAAGTGGCTATGTTGTGAACCCTTATGGGAAAAGTACTGAAGGCGTTTGTGGTAATAGCTAGTGTTTAAGCCAGACCTTAGGGCGATAAACAAGGGAGAAGAGATCCTGTCAAAGGCATCTTGCACTGTGTTGCTCCATCACTTGGGAATCCTGACCCTGCCATGCAATTAATGTCTAATTTCAACACTATATAATATGAAGAAGTCAGACTAGGGATGATAGATACCCTGATACTCTCTTCTGCTGCCCAAGGTGGCACCTGGGGAGGCTGGTGGCCACATCTATGCTACATAAGATTGTTCTTAGTCCAGAAACTGTACATACAGCTTTTCTGAAACGTTGTAGAGATGTGAGGAGTGAATTACCACACATTTGTCCTGCAGGGGCTGCGATGGACCTGGTTCTCAGTGTTGCCGATCATTACTTCTTTACTCCATATGTGTATCCAGCCACGTGGCCCGAGGACAACATCGTCCGACAAACTATTAGTCTCCTGATTGTCACGAACCTGGGGGCTTATATCCTCTACTTCTTTTGTGCAACCCTGAGCTATTATTTTGTCTATGATCATTCGTTAATGAAGCATCCACAGTTTTTAAAGGTAAGAGATTTTCTGGCTTCTGTTACTTTAAAAATAATGATACAATATATTTGTGAATTTTTCAGTTAATTAAACTGCTTATATGTGAATAAAGTTTTTGAAAACAGCCCCTGAATGGGCTGGATGTTTTTATAAGGGTTAATCACCTCTTTCCTTCTTGTATTCTAAATAAGTGGATCTTGTCTGTTAGCCTGGAGATCTTACTTCCCCATGTACATAGATGAGAATCACTCTGCTAGTATTGATGAATACATGTATATAACTATTGGGTTTATGTAACTACTTGACTCTGGCTTTTGCAAACTAAAAGGTATTTACCATGTGCGTTTTCCATGGCTGAGTTGGGGATTCAGGTTGAGCAGTTGAGACGTGTTCTTAATCAGCTTGGAACAGTTTTCTGTGACCACTACTGGCATTTGTCAGATAGTCCCTGAACCGAAGGAGCTGGGGAGGGAAGTTCATTAAAGATTATTCCATTAATAGAAACTCAGCACATAGATTTGGCAAGGAGGAGAAAAAAAATTCAGAAGTGAAGGTACTTGCTGCCTTTGGTTGGCATAAAGGAATATGTAGTCAGAATATTTCCTGTGTCCCGCCTGGCCCATGGTCAGGACAGATCTCTCACCCACAGTCCCACAGCCTTTTATAAAATAATCACACAGAGACTTAATATTATTTATATAACTGCTCAGCCATTGCTCAGGCTTATTACTGACTAGCTCTTACACTCAAATTAACCCATAATTCTTATTTATGCTTAGCCATGTGGCTTAGTAACTTTTCTCAGTTCTGCCTTGACATCTTGCTTCCTCTGTGTCTGGCTGGTGACTCCTGACTCAGCCTTCCTCTTCCCAGAATTCTCCTTGTCTGCTTATATTTCCTATACATCCTGCCTGGCTACTGGCCAATCCACATTTTATTTATCAATCAGTCAGAGCAACACACATTCACAGCATACAGAATGACATTCCACAGCATTTCTGCTTTTATTCCTAATCAACAAGGAAGGTTTTAACTTTAACATAGTAAAATTACATATAAGAAAACAGTTATCAAACAAGAATTACAGTTACAATATCTAGTCTATTTGTATTTGGCAAAATTAAAGAAAATATTTTACCATCTGTCCTATTTTGTGAGTCTAAAGTTTATATCTAATTTATCTTTTATCATAACCAAGGAAAATTATAACTATCTAGTCTTCAACTACATTAAAGACCCCAGAAGGATATAATATTACCTAAGTAAACAGGAAGATAATTGTAAGCAACTTCCAAAAATCTAGAATGACAGAGACAACTGGCTACCTGGACAGTCACCCAAAGTCCCTGGGCAACATTGGGGTATCCTTCAGCCTATAGGCCTAGAGTCTCTCAGTTGCTTCTCTCTGTGTCTTGTAGAATGCCTGGCAGTTTCTTCTGTGAAGCAGGAACCTGAAGGACCATCTCACCTTGCAAAGTTCAGTGGTCACCTTCCTATGGGTCTTGCATGTCCAGTTTATACAACATACTGTCAAGCAGTCGATGCAAGGGCACTTTTTTGCCCAGTGACTAACTTTTACCACAAAGAAAGCAAACTCCATAATGAATTTCTTCAGTGCCCATTATCTTCTCTGAAGTAGATTGGTGCTGACAGAAGCAGACATGTTTCAATGTCCAGGAAGTCTAAGTTTTTAAAACATTTTAAATGCCATATTCTATAGGTCTTTGAAGTGTTTGAAGATTACTTACCTAATTGAATTATATCTATGTATACCTAGAAAACTTAACTAGTATGACTGTAAGTTTGATTATCATGGAGACTAATTATTAATCTGTATTTCTTAATTATACATTACAATTTCAAATGAGCTACACAAGCATACCTTAAACAAGAGTAGAAATATACATACAGTATACGAAAATTAACTTTAAATTTGTAATAAACTAAAATCTATAGCAATGTAAATCATTTCAAACAGTTGTTGCTCTTTCAAAGTAAATTCCATAATCTACCTTTTTATCCTATCATATCTATATCCTATATTTCTATATCACTTCCCCCTTTCTTTTTTTAGAAAGAGATTGACTATGACTAATAACAATTTGTAACCAACAACCACAACAAAGACAAACACCCATAATCTGTTTTTTTGGAAATGTGGGTGCAGTTTTCTAGGCTACTTCCTGCTGATAGGGCGTGTTGGTAGTCTTATGGGGATCCTGAGAAAACTAAGAATTATGGTCAAGTCCGGACTGAAATAGTCTGTGATGCTGTATTCTCTGAGCCAGTTGCCTTGAAGCTATTCTGGATGTTGGAATATCTGGAGACCTCTCAGGGGTCCTTGATCAAGCCATATTAGCTTGGAAGCAATCCATAGGTTCTCATCTTCTGTGGAAACAAAAGCAGAACCTCTTTTCCAAAGCAACATATCCTTAAACATAAATTTTGAAATCAAGATATCTTTAAAATGTACATATTGATTTAACTCAGCAGCCTTTACAATCAAATGTCTCTCTGCAGTTAAAAATCCCAAGGCAATATAATACAGAATTTCTGTGTAATTTCCATCTTTACATGGCTTTTTATATTACTTTTACTTTCTCTTTAAAGACTTTATTTTTTAGAACTTTCTATTTCTTTATATAACTGTTTATAATCCTTTTGCTCTCTCTTCCAAGCCTACATACATTTTTATACACATTGTATACCATTTAAAGTCCTATTCCATCCGAATCTGTCTTATTGTGAATTATTGCTTTAAACTGCAGAGTGGTTAGAACAGAAGCAGCAGCCTTGACTGTTGACTCCGCCCACCTCAGCTTTTCAACATGGCGGAACTGCATTTACTGCCAGCTCTGGGGGAACCATACTCATTGCTGACTCTGAAGCAGTGGGTCTATGCTTCCCATCCAGTAACCTGTAGCCCCAAAGCCTTTTCTTTCTTATCTTTTTTTTTTTTGTCTGTACTAGCAAAAGCTAAATCCACCATGCAGTGCGCTGTGCGGCTCATATATGCCACTGTGTACAGTGGCAGAAATCCGCCATGCTGTATTCAAGCCCATACTCCGTGAACCCACCATACTGTAGCTCAAGTCCCCACACCATGGCGTCTCTGTACCTTGCTGTCTCTGTATCTCAACCTGCATGAGACATGAAGTAGCAAGCTGTTTTTGGCTCTGTTATTGTGTGTTTAGAAGCCCTTTTTAAACTCTTTTAGGCCTTATGGAAATTTGAGAGCCCCACATTGGGCACCAAATGTAGTCAAAAGATTTCCTGTGTTCTGAAAATTTTCCTGTGTCCTGCCCGGCCCATGGTCGGGACAAATCTCTTACCCACAGTCCCACAGCCTTTTATAAAATAATCACACAGAGACTTAATATTATTTATAACTGCTCAGCCATTTGCTCAGGCTTATTACTGACTAGCTCTTACACTTGAATTAATTCACAATTCTTGTTTATGTTTAGCCACATGTCTTGGTACCTTTTCTCAGTTCTGCCTTGTCATCTTGCTTCCTCTGTGTCTGGCTGGTGACTCCTGACTCAGCCTTCCTCTTCCCAGAATTCTCCTTGTCTGCTTATTCTTCCTATACATCCGGCCTGGCTCCTGGTCAATCAGCATTTTATTTATCAACCAGTCAAAGCAACACACATTTACAGCATACAGAGCAGCATTACTCATCAAGGAATACTTTTCTTATACTTTCCTATGCATTAAAATTTTCACAGGAGCCGGGCAGTGGTGGCGCATGCCTTTAATCCCAGCACTCGGGAGGCAGAGCCAGGTGGATCTCTGTGAGTTCGAGGCCAGCCTGGGCTACCAAGTGAGCTCCAGGAAAGGCGCAAAGCTACGCAGAGAAACCTTGTCTCGAAAAAAAAAAAAAAAAAAAAAATTTCACAGGAAAAGTTTGGAAGTAGGCTTTTTAGTATAAAAGAGAATTTAGTACCTGGAGAGTAGACTCAACAGTTAAGAGTGCATATTTCTTCTGCAGAAGACCCAAGTTTGGTACCTAGCACCCATATTGACAGCTTGCAACTGCCTGGAACACCAACTCCCTGGGGACTTCTAACGTCTGCAGATATTGCATTCACATGCACATATCTACACACACACACACACACACACACACACACACACACATACACACACACACACTCACACGCACGCGCGCGCATACATATTTAAAAATAATATGTGAAATAAAAATCCGAGGAAAATAGAAAATTGAAAGGTAGGAGTATAGATCAGTGGTAGAGTTCTTGCCTGATAGAAGCCAGAGTCCAAGTACAAACAGAAAATAGTTAAAAAATCCATCCCCAGTCAACTTTATGACAGTTTTGTTGAACAGATTTTGTGACTTTGAAATAATTGGAACTTTCATCTTTAGAATCAAGTCTCTCGGGAGATCATATTCACCGTCAAGTCTTTGCCCTGGATAAGTATCCCCACCATTGCATTGTTCCTGCTGGAGTTGAGAGGCTACAGCAAGCTCTACGATGACATAGGAGACTTCCCAAATGGTGAGCAGACACTGGGAGGGCCCAAGGACAAGTTAGTGGAGCCATCCCCGCCTCTTCCTGCTGTTTGTTCTTTGTTCATGCATGTGAGCATGTATGTTCATGTGTGCAGCAGGCCAGAGGGCGACCTCAAATATCACCTTCAGGAATACTCTTTACCTCTTGGGTTTGTTGTTGTTGTTGCTGGTGATGATTTTAGTGGCTAGAGTGGGGAGGGGGGGGTTGTTTGGTTTTGTTGTTTGTTTTTTTGAGCCAGGGCCTCAGTAGTTAGCCCTGGCTGGCCTGGAACTTAATTAAATAGGTCAAATACACAGAGATCCATCCATCTGCCACTGCCTCCCAAGTGCTGGAGTTAAAAGCATGTGCCACCTGGCCAAGTCTAGACAGGTTCTCTCATTGGCCTGAAACTTACCAGTTCATCCAGACTGGTTGGCCAGCTAGCCCCAGTCTGTTTCGACCTCACTAGTGCTGGGATTCCAAATCCACATTGCCACATCTAGCATTTTTTATGTGATTCCCAAGGATCAAACTCAGGTCCTCATGCGTGTGAGGCAAGTATTTCCTGGCTGAGCCATCTCCCCAGCCAGCCTGCCTGCCTGCCTGCCTTCTCCCCTCCTTCTTCCCCTCTCTCCCTTTTTCCTTTTCTTCTTTCTTTCTAGACAAAGTCTTGCTAGGTAGCCCAGGCCGGCTTTAAATTTGCAAAGTGCGCCTCCATGATTGTCTTAGAGTTATTTTCTTTAAAGCACCAAGATGCCTCCTTCTCCTTTCCTTCAAACTGCCCAGTTGTTTTGACGGTTCTGCTTCCTTCCATCATGGCTCTCCACACCCGTGGACTTTCTTAACTTCACTGTCATTTTTAAAGTCAGTTTGGGATGATTTTGTACCCAAGGGAATACTGATCAGGGATGAGCCCTTGTATTTATTTCCTACGATTGTTACTTCCAACTGCTGGGAAAGCAGTATGTGAGAGTTACTGAAAGTCGCAGTCTGCTGCCCTGCTGCCTAGAAACTAGAAGCTGCTTGTCACTGTCCGTCTGTCCTCCCTCTCATCTGTGCCTGCCTGCTTCCTTGATTCCATTGCAGAAATGCAATACTTTTTATGCAGCTTGTATTCCAATGGTTGTATAAATGTGGCCATTGTTTCATATCTGTAAATATTGTCATAGAATATATTAATTATAGTAGTTCATTGTGTCTCTGTCCAGAATTTAGAAATTGGCCCCTACATTTAGAGCTTTAGACTTTCTTCTCTAAAGGTAGTCTTGCAGTGATGTGACCTCTGTGCAGTTCTGAAGTTACTTCAAGACACATTTCTGACACCCAGAATACAGGAAAGCAGGATAGTGTTCATTGATTGGCAGGTGCCAGCAGCAGTTCATAGCTCTGCCCCATATCAACCCACTGCTTTTCTTCAGCAGCTCTGCAGAGTGGGTCTTGCTGCTAGGCTGCTTTTAGAAGGGGCATATTAGGGAAGGACGTGTTGAGAAGCTGCCTATGTGCTCAGCTAATAGTTGGTGGGTCAGAGGCTTGAACCCAGCCTTGCTGTGTGCTCTCAAAGTAGGAGGTGGTTAATTAGAAGAGGCTTTGACAATGAATGAGGGAATGAGCAAAATCAGGGAGAGAACATTCTAGACATGTTGGGACAGTGTGAGCCCAAGTCAGAGGTAAAATGCTGCAGGCACAAGAGGGAGTTGAGTACATCAGCTTGGTTGGGTCAAAACCCCAGGAGGATGAGGCTGGAAATACTAGAAAGGGACTCATTATGGGGTGAGTTTCTAGAGTGAAGGTATTTATTGGGAAATAAGGCTCCAGGTAAAGAGGTAGTACACAAAGATAGGATTTAAGAATGCTAGTATGAAGGAAAGCAGTGGGAATGTCCTGTCACGTGGGCATCTTTATAGTTTAAGTAATACTTGTACTAGAAAGATGACTGAGCAGTTAAGAGGACCCGAGTTCAGTTCCCAGAACCCATATCGAGCGGCTCACACCTGCTAATAACTCCAACCATAGGGGAACCAGAGCCTTCATATGCACACACATACGCATAATTCAAAAGAAATCATTAATATCTGGGCAGTGGTGGTGCACCCCTTTAATCCCAGCACCTGAGAGGTAGAGACAGGCAGCTCTCTGAGTATGAGTCTACTCTGGTCTACAGAGTGAGTTCCAGGACAGCCAGAGCTACACAGAGAAACCCTGTATTGAAAAACAAATATGCAAAATAATAAAGTTAAGCCATAAAAAAGAAAATCAATACTATATGGGCAATTTTTATGGTTTTGTATATGAGCTAAAATTTAATTAAAATTACAAAGTTAATGAAAGGTAGAACATTTCAAGTTGTTAGGTGAGGGGGAAGTAGAGATGTCAGCGGTTCTAGGTAGTGAAGGCAGATGACCCTCTAATATGTTGATTGTGTTTGAGTTTCGGATCCCCTTTTGTGTTTGTGTGGACATGTGGAAAGGGAACACTAATTCTGGAGCCAACCTTTGACTCTTGTTCTGTATGGTCTCCTTTAGGCTGGATTCATCTCATCATTAGCGTGCTATCCTTCCTCTTTTTCACGGATATGCTGATCTACTGGATTCACAGGGGCCTGCATCATAGACTGGTCTACAAGGTAGAGTCATTAGAGGGGAGAGGAGGGGGAGATATCTCACATTTCCATATTACAGATGCTCTAGAGTCTAAGGCTTTCTCTTGCCTGTATTAAACGCCCAAGAAGCTCTTTTGGTCATCACTCATCACAGGGCCTGTATGCATGTTAGTTATAGTTTTCTTTGTGGTCTGGAGGGCCTGTCTTAGAATTTTAACCTTGGGAGTAAAGAAGGGTGACTTGGCCAATTGCAGGTAGGCCATGTCTGAACCAGAGGTGGAAACTAAGTTTGCACATGGCTCTAATCGTATCCCTTTCCTCCTCAGCGCATACATAAACCTCATCATATTTGGAAGATCCCCACTCCATTTGCAAGTCATGCTTTTCACCCTGTGGACGGCTTCCTCCAGAGTCTACCTTACCACATATACCCCTTTATCTTTCCACTGCACAAGGTGGTCTATTTAGGTTTATATGTCTTGGTTAATGTCTGGACAATTTCTATTCATGACGGTGATTTTCGTGTCCCCCAGTTCTTAAGGCCATTTATTAATGGGTCAGCTCATCACACAGACCACCACATGTTTTTTGACTATAACTATGGACAGTATTTCACATTGTGGGATAGAATTGGAGGCTCTTTTAAAAATCCTTCCTCCTTTGAAGGGAAAGGACCACATAGTTATGTGCGGAAGATGGCCGAAAGAGAGTTCAACAACCTTGCAGTAAATGGCTGTAAAAGCGAAAAAGTGTGCAATGGAGAGTTTACAAAGACTAAGTAGGTTATTGCCCAATTATTAAATATTTTAAATAAGGAAATAATCTACACACAGCCAAGATACATAGCGCATAAGTGGTGTCATTTGGACATCAGCATTTTGTGTTCTGACGATAAACTGGGAAGAAGCTGGGAGCAGCAAGACTGTAATCCAGTGGCCAGTGGGTCAGACATTGGTCCAGGGGACAACTTGTATCTTTGCAGCCAGCAGATCTGCAGCCTGTACAGCCCCAACAACTTTAAATAAGATAAAAGATACGCTACGGAAGAAGCTGGTCCATGTCCTTTTGCCTTAATCCACTCATATTCATTAAGGGGAAAAAAACCCCATTGTACTTAACAATACTGAGACTAGCCAAGAAATACTAATCTGAGGATGGCTCCTGTCCTGGGAGCGGCTGGCTCTGCAGTGGTGGCGGAGGACTTGCAGGACTTGGTTCAGATCGGAACATCAGCCCGAACTAGCTGATATACAAGTGGCTATGTATATGATTTACCTAATGGCTGGTGTGGTAAGATTATATTATCTTCTTATACATAGTCGCCTTACTCTCAAGGGCATTATCAGACTTTAATAATGCATAAATAAATAAATGGTAATTTTTTAAAATGTTAGCTCTTCTATGATTCAATCCAGATATGAGATTATTTAACTGAAAATCTTGATTCATGTCATTTAAAACTACTGTTTAATAAGCCTACAGCCACAAATCTAGATAATGCTAGATATAAACTTAGGGCACCAGGTGGCACATCTCTTTTTAATAAAATGGATGCACTGTACTTTTGATGTATTCCAAGTTACAAAGCTGATTTTTTAAATGAAGGGAATAATTGCCAAATACTTAAGTCTACCTGAGATACGTACACTTTGAAACCTCAGTCTCCATTTCTTCCCTCTTTTCCTACTGAAAAAAAAAAATCTCACAAACACCTCCAGGAAGAAAGGTGGGTATTATAAGTATATTGGTGTAAAGATATTCTATTGGCTGTTTATGCAAAAACCAATAAAAGTTGATCATGACTGCTATTAACCACTTAAATGTTATAGCACAAAATATCCTTTGTTTAAATTAGTGACACTCTGAAGACAGAGTTGATGTGGGTTGTAAAAGCTGAGAGCATTCCAGATACCCAGGGTCAGACTGCTGGATGTGAGTGTTTACTACAAGGATCTCTCACTCAGCAAATCCTTCCTCATTTGCTAGTTGACATTATCAAGTGCTCTGAGGCAGTGGAAATGGGAAATAAAGAGGCTCTGTGTACGGATCTAGACTTCCTTTTCCTGGAAATAGAACCCACCAGGACACATCACTAAGATAAGACTGACTGAGATGTTGAATGACTCTGACGCCCAGCTCTTGGCAGTGTGCTGTGGATGCTACATCAAGAAAGAGCAAACTCCCCAAGTGGGACATCTCTTCTCCTCAAGGCTCAGGGAACATTAAGGAAGAAGCTGAGGCCAGGGGAGAATGCTGCAAGACTCTGGACATGAGGGGCCATCCTGCTTGTGAACTTATTGCAACTGTGTCTGTCTGCACACCGTCCAACCAGGGAACATTCCAGCATGGATGGGTTGAGGGGGCTCACAAGGTCCCACCTCCAGCTGGGGAGCTGTTGACAGTGGGTGGCCGCTAGGGAAGGGACAGTCTGTTTGTAGTGGTGTAGTCTCCAAGGTGCTTTTGTGCCCGTGGGCGGCCCTGTACCTGAGGCTAGGGGCAGCTCTAACTGGACCCTGGCTTATAAAGGAGAAGAAACAGAGAATGTGAAATTGGGAGAGAGATCGGGGAGAAGTCGGGGGTGGAAAGGTAGAGTGGATATGATCAAACTGATTTGTGTATGTGTATGACAAACCGGGAGGCAGGGTTGTCTTCAGCCTCACTTCAGGAGTTGCTGCCAGGAGCCTTGCAGTAGGAAGAATGAGTCACAGCAGGTGCCCTCTGCAACCTTGCTTTCCCCATCTCATAAGGGACGAGCCACTGTCCCCCAGTAGGGTCAAGCCCAGAGAACGGTGGCTTCTGCTTCCTGGCTTCAGTGATGATCATTGTTAATCTTCTGCTGGGTCCTCATCAGGAGTATGGTGGAGGAGGCTACTCTCCCCTTCACGTTGGAGCCTGAAAAGCATCGGATGAGTTACAGGAATATATTTAAAAAAAAAAAAAATCAAAAACAAGATGTTGCACACTGTGAATGATCTTTATGGGGTGAAATAGCCAGTGTTTTGGTTGCTGTAGCGTTCTTTTTCAAAACAAGTCATAAGCCAGTCTACAGTAAAATTGAGACAAAATCAAAGCCTGTCTCCCCCCAAATAGAATAAACTTCTTAAGGACAGGGAATGCATGATCCAGGTGGTAGTATGTTTCACCACTAGGGCAGGAGTTGGTATTGGAAGAAATTATTCATAAAAACTTGTTATAATTTGCTTTGTGAAGATACTTTGAAGATAATTGTCCAGGGGCCAGGATGCGGCCTAATGGTAGACAGAGTGCATGCTTGGTACACACAAGGCCCTCGGCTTCATTCCCTGTCTGGCCAAAATGTTTTCTTCCTGAATCTCTAAAGTCAAATTGAAGATTTTTATTAATTTAAGTGCAATAGACTTTAAAAAATAAGTTATATTCTAGTTTCTTTAACAGCGAACTCCTAAGTTGAGCCTATCAAATGTTCCTGAACACGTAACCATTTGTCTTTTTATAATGAGATTTTCTTAAATGTGGTAAGAGACACAGCATTTTGAGTCAGTTCCCTGGTCAGACTTGTGGTTGGGTACCTGGGCCGAGTCCCACCACTCAGACATCACCACCGCACGGTAGGAGGTGTCGGAAGTTAGTCATTTGACTTGAGGTCATCTGCGCCCTCCTGGAGCCAGCTTATCTCATAGGCTTCTGTTCAGCTCCTCCATTCCGTATGTCTATTTCTTTTGGTACTATCGCCTCACTCAGCCATTCACTTGAAGAAAAGTTGACCCCCTGACATGCTGCTAAAGAAGCAAATAGAAACATCGTACACATCCAGCCGTGGAGGCGGCGCTGTGGCGGTGGTCCTGGGCTGCTGCTCCAGTACAGCGTGTGCTGGCTTTCCTGTAGTTAGTGCGCCTGCTCCATTGTACAGTTCAGCCTGGACATCCAGACACCAACGGCACCGCCCCCCTCAAGACAGCATGGCCTCCACCGGAGCGTGCACTGTCTCCCTCTGCGGTTTCCCCCCGGCCTCAGGTAACCACTGACCTACTCTGTCCCTGGGGATTAATTTCATCTCTTCCAGAATTCCATTTAAATTAAATCAGATGAGATATACTCATGTGTTGAGCTTTTTTTTTGTTTTGACACATGTGCTGTTGTATTTATCAACAGTTCATTCCTTTTCATTGGTGAGTAGTGTTCCTATTACAGCATTATACTAAGTAATATGCTACTGTCGGCTAAACTGAGTATCTGTTGATGGATATCTGGGTTATTTCCAGTGTGGAGATATTTTGAATAAAGCTATTAGAGACATTTGTGAATGATCATTGTGTGGACCTGTCTTTTATTTTATTTTGTTGTTTGTTTCTTTTTGCTTTTGTGTTTTCAAGACAGGGTTTCTCTGTGTAGCCTCGGCTGCCCTTTCACCTCCGTAATGTCTTAGAAGGAAAATGTTGAATTTAGGTTAATAGCAACTTCACAGCTTTTGTCTTTCCTTGTTCCTGCTTTTCATAGTCTTCCTAAGACATCGTAACCTCCCCCAAAGTATGCCTGGAAGTCGTGGTGAGGTTGTGTTGTTGTTTGGGGTTTCTTGTTTTTTGATTTTCACGAAGATCTCACTGTGTGGCCATCCCCTCCATTCCCTTCTCTTCCTTCCCTTGTGATGGTTAAACGTTCATTCGGGTTCATGGCTGTGGCAGAGGTGAGGCACATTCTCCTCCATCTTGGGGTGTGACTTCTCCTCCATCTTGGGGTGTGACTTCTCCTCCATCTTGGGGTGTGACTTCTAGTGGTCTGGTGATCTCAGAAGTTTCAGTTCACGGTCATGTGGCTCTGTTTGGGCTCTGGTCAGGCAAAAGGTCATGCCAGGGAGCCTACAGGGGCCAAAGCTGCTCACCACACCTTGGTCTAAAAGCACGGAGAAAATTCAGTCATTTTAGCGACAGAAGACTTTTTCAGTCTTTCGTTATTCAGATCTGATGCACTACTGTTAAAGAAATTTATTCTCTTTGCTAAAGTTAATAATTTTTTTTTGCCATGAACTTGTTTAAACAATCCCCTATTAACATGTTAACATCCATAGTTATAGTTCTTTAATTCATGTTAGTATTGTTTGGTGTTTGGTTTTGTTTTCTGTTTTTTTCATCAGTCTGAGAGGGATGTTTCTGGGGGTGTTTACACAGCATTATACAGGCTGACTGCAGCCTTGGCTCTGGATGCTTCACACGGACACTTTGTACAGTGCATGCTCACGCTGCGAGTGGCCACAGACATGCTTGAAACACCTCAGTTCAGCTTCTAGCCTACTGTGCCTCAGGAACCGCAGTGTTTACAGTGCATGCAAGGCCTTCTTCTCTTCCACATAACGGTCTGTGGAGAGCAAAGCCACCCAGTGTTTTTCTACTGTCACTGCTCAGCATGTGAATATCAAATTAGTATGTCTTTGGGTTGGATTGTGTCAAAATGTTTGATTCAGAACTTGCTGTGTGGTATGCTGACTTGAGTGCATAAAGATTGCTAAGTGGCCGGGCAGTGGTGGTGCACGTCTTTAATCCCAGCACTCGGGAGGCAGAGGCAGGCGGATCTCTGAGTTCGAGGCCAGCCTGGTCTCCAAAGTGAGTTCCAGGAAAAGGCACAAAGCTACACAGAGAAACTCTGTCTTGAAAAACAAACAAACAAACAAACAAAAAAGATTGCTAAGTGAATTTGGGTTTGGGATTAGAACGGAATTACTAACAATTGCTGAAATAGCCACAAATATACTAGTGCTGGGTATTTATGCAAAGCAGTGCTCTCAGTGCTGATGATTATAAAATTGAACTGTCAGGACCAGAGCAGGCGCAGTGGCTGAGTGCTTACTGCTCTTCCACAGGACCCACGTTTGGCTCCCAACATCCATGCTAGTTGACTCACAGCCACCTGTAACTCCAGCTTCGGGGAACCTGACAGTCTGTTCTGGTCTCCTGAGCATATGTGGCATATACTCACACAGATGCACACCCATACCAAAAGTAAAATCTAAATGAAACCAAAATATCAGTCAACTTTGTAAAATATCCAAGATGCTCCCAGTATCAAATTTCCAGCTACCATTTAATTATCCATGTAAAAATAAATAAGTACATCCATGTCATTAGTATAAATATTTGCTTTAAATAGAAAAGTTCTATCTAAACCAACAATTGTTCTAAACCAACGATTGTGTTAAGTGAATTTCCTTACAGTTTATTATCAGTAGAGATTTGGTTTGTATGCCTATTTTATATGCCTGTAAACTCTAGGCGGCTTAAGGATTTTCCTGGTGGAAAGGGGCTACAAGTTGAGAAGTCCTGACTTAGTTCACATCCTAAGGTGAGGCCAATGCTGTAAGCACATCAGAACATTTTCCAGAGATCTGCTCTCCACCCTTCCCCAGCCCTTCTGAGGACCCACACTCATCTCTGGAGGATGAAACATTCAAGACACCATTCAGGAGGTAAGAGCAGGTCTCAGCTCCAGAACTGAGAAATGAAATTTCATTTTCAGATTTTTCTTACAGCAAAGCTAAGGGTGACATATGCCTATTATCCTAGAACTTGGGAGGTAGAGGCAGGAGGATCAGACTTTCAAGGTCATCCTTGGCTACCCAAGGAGTTTAGGGCTAGCCTGGTATATCCGAGACTCTATCTCAAATAAATGAAAACAAAAAACAGCCAATACTCCAGCTCTATTGTGGCAGGAACACAGATAGACTAAGGTCTGATTGACTGATTTTTCTTAGTTGCTTGTCTTTGGGCTCATCAATTTTGCCCCCCTCCCCAAATATTTTACCTTTCAATTGCTCATTCCCTCTTTTCTACTTAAAATGGAGGCTCAGATCCCTGATTTAATCTTTTTTTTTTTTTTTGCTTTTATAAATATAAACATTTGATGCAACAAAGTTCTCTCAGAGGACTTCTGTGGCCATGGCTCACACATTTTTTTAAATTTATTTTTTATTAAATTATTTTACATACCAACTACAGTTTCCCCTCCCTCCTCTCATCCCATCACCTACCCTCCCCACCTCCTTTTTACCCCACCTCCCCCCATCCACTCCTCAGAAAGGGCAAGGCCTCCCATGGGAGTCTTTTTGTTCTTGACTTGATATTTCCGTTTCAGTGGGATTTCTCTCTTCACCCAGAGGTATGGTGGCCATGCACTGCTTCCTTGTCTGGGTCACAGCTGTGCCTCCCACAGTGGCTTTCCTGATTTGTTTCAGACTCAGCATGGTGGTCTCCTGTGAGACTTGGAAGGTGGAAGGGTGGCTGTGGCCTTCTTTAGGCCTTGGGAAGATGAAGCTGTTGAGAAAACATCTCACTTGAGAGCCGTTGCCTCATCACTTGGCTGGCCCCACAACACCTGCACTTCCTGTCTCGTCCCCTTCAGCTTCTCCAAATTCTGGGCTGGCTCTGTGTGTGACTCCACAACAATGAGGGCCCTGACATCTAAAGAGGAGCGGTCTCACCTCAGAGTTGAGGCTGACTCACGCCAGAGACGGGAGTCACCTTAAGAGCGTTGGCAGTTCTTCCCGAGAACTGAAGTTCAGGTCCCACCACCCAAGTCAGGTGGCTCACAGCTGCCTGTAACTTCAGCCCCAGGGGATCTGGGGCACCTGCAAGAGCATGTTCACACACACACACACACACACACACACACACACACACACACACACACACACAGAAATAAAAAGTTTATTTTTTAAGTTGAGGCTTTCAGGGGATGATTAAGGATCTGTCCAAGTAAAACCCAAGCTCCAGCTTGTCCACTCCTCACATCCTCTTTCCTTCCTGTCCTACTCTGTGTCTCTGGTTCCCAACATCAGATGCAGGATTTCAAGGAGCCTTGACTTGTCCTGGTCAATCCTCACAGCTCTGAAGAAGCGTTTCATACTGAAACAGACTCCAGAGGTCAGCACCTTCAGAACTCTCCATCCCTGAATTGTGGGTTCTCTGACATGGTTGAACTTAAAAGTCATCCACACACTTTTTCCAAGTCAAAGGGATGTTGGAAGTTCATGATAGGCAATAGCAAAACAATTACAGATCACATATGGAGGAGGA